CGATGTGATGGGAGGGTGGGCGGGGCTGGGGCGGGGCCCGTGGTGGTGCGCTGGGGGAACGGGCGTGGCCTGGGACGAAGTGATGGGAGGGTGGGCGGGGCCTGGGGGATGGGGCGGAGGGATGGGCGGGGGCTGAGATGATGGGTGGGCGGGGCCTGTGTTGGCGGGCTGAGGGGTGGGTGGGGCCTGGGGCGGTGGGGTTGCAGGCCGCAGGAGGCGGAGCCCGGAACCCGACCTGCCTCAGTGCACCGGCCTGCCCCTCCCCTCCCCCGGTGCTCGCGTGGGTCATCCCAGCTGCTCAGGAGGCCGAAGACCTGAGGCCAGCCTGGACCGGAAAGTCCGCGAGCCTCTCCTCTCTAAAGCCAGAAGTGGAGCTGTGGTTCAAGCGGCAGAGCACCAACCTTGGGCAAAAACAGCTCAGGCCCCGAGTTCAAGGCTCAGGTGAAGCGTTTGTCACCGGCCGCAGGTGCAGGAGCTATACCGGCAGCGGCTGCGCGAGGTGGAGGTGGTGGAGCAACACATCACCGAGGCTCGGGCCCGGGCCCTGGCCGAGACGGAGCGGGCCACCCACCACGCCCGAATGCACTACGTGGAGCCCCCGGACAAGCTGCCCCCAGGTGAGTGAAAGGGGGAGGCCACTGCAGCCTCCCTCCCGAGATTCACACTGCCCGCACTCACCCCTTCGTTGCCCTGGGTTTGTTTTTTTCTTTTCTTTTGCTGGTCAGTCCTGGGGCTTGAACTCAGAGCCTGGGCGCTGTCCCTGAGCTTTTTCAGGTGCTCTACCACTTGATCAGCAGCTCCACCTCCTTGGGGCTTAATTGGAAACAAAAAGCCTCATGGACTTTCCTGCCCAGGCTGGCTTTGAACCGTGATCCTCAGGCCTCAGCCTCCTGAGTAGCTGGGATGACAGGCGTGAGCCCCCGGCGCGCGGCTTCCCACTCTTTATTTTTTACTGGTTTAGTTTTTTTTTGCTGAAAATTGGGAAAGCCATTTGCATTTACATGAACAATCTCCATAAACCCAGGACCCGCCCGCAGCCGCCAGCTCCCAAAGTGTGTCATTGTCACCCACTCAGGAGGCTGAGCTCTGAGGACCGCGGTTCAAAGCCAGCCCGGGGCCGGATACTCCAGCAGACTCTTAATGTCTCCAATGAACCAGCAAAAAGCCAGGGTGGAGGTGTGATTCACACGGTAGAGCACCTGCTACGAGCAGAAAAAGCTAAGCGAGAGTTTGAGACCTTGAGTTCAAACTCCAGTGCTGTGCATACTCCTCCAGGAAAAGATCCTGTGAGTGCCTTACTGTGCGTGCACAGTAAAAACACACACAGCACTGCGCATGTCACACACACACACACACACACCTCTGTGCATGCGCCTTTTAAAAACCACACCTCACCGTGCACTCTAAAACCTCACACCTCACTGCGCATGCTCCTTTTGAGGCGCCACCTCACTGCGCATGCTCCTTTTGCGGCGCCAACTCACTGCGCATGCTCCTTTTGACACCTGGGCGGGGCGCTGCAGCCAGCCCCCGTGGCAAGGGCTGCGTCCACCTCACGGCGCCCAGGATGGATGAGGCCCCGCGCAGGCGCAGGCGAGGGGAGGAGCCGACTCTCCAGTGTCCAGTGAGACCGTGGCCATACACAGCCAAACACCGCCATGGTGGCCTGGCCGGCCTGGGGGCCAGGGTGCTGGATCCCTCCTCCCTCCCTTCCCCTCCCCTTTCCTCTTTCCCTTTCCCTCCTCCTCCCCTCCCTACATCTTCTCCCTCTCTCCTCCCTCCCCTCCCCTCCCCTCCCCTCCCCTTGTCTCCTTCCTCCTCCCTCCCTCCCTCCGTTTTTGTTTTTTGGTCGGTCATGGGGCTTGAACTCTGGGCCTGGGCGCTGTCCCTCAGCTCTTCAGCTCAAGGCGAGGGCTCTACCCCTTGAGCCACCCAGCCACTAACAGGTTTTCTAGTGGTTTTTATGGAGGTAAGAATCTCATGGCCTTTGCTGCCCAGGCTGGCTTTGAACCATGATCCTCCAGCTCTCAGCCTCCTGAGTAGCTGGGATGACAGGTATAAGCTGGGGGGGGGACCCTGCCTGACACCCCTCCCTTTCGTTTGTTTGCATGCAGTGAAGACTGTCTTCCGGTGGTGTGTAGACAGCAACCTGCTGAGGAAACACAATCTGATCTGCCCGGAGGATTACTACAATGACCCCCTGCCGTTTTGTTCAGCCCCCAAAGGTACTGCCCGGGCCTGGCCACACAGGCGCCCTGTGCTGCCATTCCTTTGCTTGGAGATCTTTTTTCCTAATGACGTGGCAGTACTGGGATTTGAACTCAGGGCCTTGTGCCCTCATACCTGGCTCTTTCCCTCAGCCACACCTCCACTTCCAGGCTTCTGGCTAGTCCATGGGAAATAAAGAGCCTCATGGACACTTCCTGCCCCGGCCTGGCTTTGAACCGGGATCCTCGGCTCTCCCTGTTAACTCCGTGGATCAGCAAAAAAGCAGCCAGAAGTGGAGGTGTGTCTCAAGCAGTAGAGCACCAGCCTTGAGGGAAAAAGTTAAGGGAGAAAGGAGTGAACTTCTTGTGAGTTCAAGACCTAGTAGTGGCACACACGCACACACGCACACACGCACACACACACGCACACACGCACACACTCGGCTTCTCATGGTCCAGTAACTAACTCCCCTCTCTCCTCTTGATGCTGTAGGCAATTTTTCTCCTCTGTGTTCACACTTGAAATTCAGCTGCCAGAGGCTTGCTAGGCCAAAGGGAAAACCAGAGAAGGAGCCCGAAGGAAGTCTGTGCAGAGAGAAGGTTGCTGCATCTGAAGTGGAGTCTGACTACACCATGGAGAGTTCTTTGCGGGCCTCCACCCTGAAGGCCAAACAAAGGGAGAACAGAGAAAATGCCAGGGTTCGTTTGTGAATGTGTATGTGTGTGTGTGTGTGTTTAAATTGTCCCAGTCTCAGGGCTTGAACTCGGGACCTGCGCACTGTCCTTAAGCATTGTCTCAAGGCTGGCGCTCTACCACTTGAACCCACACAGCCCCAGCTCCACTTGTAGCTCTGTGCCGGCCTCCACCCCCGATCCTCCACTCTCGGCCTCCCGAGTAGCGAGGATGACAGGCTTGGTGTGAGGCCCCAGTGCCCACCCGGGTCTCGACTGGATTTTTCCTTTTCTTGGGCATTTTAAAGAAAACAGGTCCACCCAAGAATAAGAGCTGGATGGACCACTTAAGCGTGACGCAGAGGCTGCTGGAGCGGCGCTTGCTGGCCCAGGTGGAGACCCGGAACCACTTCCTCAGGAACCCCCGGTTCTATCCTCCTGACACCCCTCGGGGAGGCAGATCTCTCATCTTCCCCCCAAAGATGCCAGGACTGACCGGAGGCTCCCTAAGATGGGGCCCAGGACACAGGTACACGGTCCCCTAACTTCCCAGGAAGCCCCACCCCACAGCTGGCTTAGACTTGGGAGATGAGAGAGCAACAGCAGAACACAGCAGCTGGCAGAGCCCTGCGGCTCACGCCTGTCATCCCAGCTGCTCAGGAGGCTGAGATCGGAGGATCGAGGTTCAAAGCCAGCCCGGCAGGAAAGTCTGTGAGACTCGTATCTTCAATGAACCACCAGGAAACTGGAAGCGGTGCCATATAAGGTATAAATGGTTTGAGTGCCAGCCTTGAGCAAAAGAGCTCAGAGACAGCACCCAGGCCCTGAGTTCAAGTCTGACAACTGACCCAAAAGAAATATATATATATTTTCCATTTCTCATTTTTCCATTATTTGTGTCTTTCCATTAACAAATCACTGTGTAATATTTTTCTTTTCTTTTCTTTTTTTTTTGGGTCCAGTCGTGGGGCCTGAATTCTGGGCCTGGGCGCTGTCCCTCAGCTCTTCAGCTCAAGGCTAGCGCCCTACTACTTGAGACACGGCGACACTTCTGGCTTTTTGCTTTTGTGGGGCTGAGGAATGGAACCCAGGGCCTCAGGCATGCAAGGCAAATGCTCTACCACTGAGCCACCTTCCCAGCCCCTATTTTTCTTATAATTGATTTTCCTTTTGTTCATAACTAATATGTCTCTTTTTTAATGTTTTTTAAACTGTGGAGTATTCCTTTGTTTGTCCTTCCTTCCTTCCTTCTTTTTTGTTTTGTACTTATCCTGCGGCTTGAACTCAGGGCCTGGGCGCTGTCCCTCAGCTCTTTTGCTCAAGCCCAGTGTGCTACCATTTGAGCCACAGCGCCACTTCTAGCTTTTTGCTGCTTCATTGGAGATAAGAGTCTCACGGACTTTTCTGCCTGGGCTGGCTTTGAACCGTGATCCTCAGATCTCAGCCTCCCGAGTAGCCAGGATGGCAGGTGAGAGTCACCAACGCCAGCTTTTCTTTTGGTTTATAACTGTGTAATATTTCTTTCCTTCTTTGTTATAGCCATGCAATGTTCCTTTTGCTTTTTGTTTAGGACTGTGTAATATTTCTCACACCTCCTGCCTCTGTTTCCCCCTACAGCTCTGCAGACACACCAGTGTTTCTAGCTAAACCCTCGGTCGTGTTTTTCACAGACTATGAAATTGGACCGGTTTATGAGGTAGAAAAAAAAATTGCGGGGGGGGGGGAGGGGATCCGGTCATGGGGCCTGAACTCTGGGCCTGGGCGCTGTCTCTCAGCTCTTCAGCTCAAGGCGAGCGCTCTACCACTTGAGCCACAGCACCACTTCCAGCTTTTTTTTCTTTTTGCTTCTGTGGTGCTGAGGAATGGAACCCAGGGCCTCATGCATGCAAGGCAAGCGCTCTACCACTGAGCCACCTTCCCAGCCCCAGAAAAAAAAAATTTTGTTTGCCAATCTGGGGACTTGAACTAGGGGTCTGGGCGCTGTCCCTGAGCTGCTTTTGCTCAAGGCTAACACTCTACCACTTGAGCCATGGCTCTCGATTCCTGGCTTTTTGGGGGGTGATTAATTAGAATTGAGTCTTGCAGACTTTTCTGCCTGCGCTGGCTTTGAACCGCAATTCTCCAGATCTCAGCCTCCTGAGTAGCTGGGATTCCAGGCCTGAGCCCCCAGCGCCCCGCTGTGTAGATGGTTTGGTATTTTTTGTTGTGGTTTGGCTCTTCAGCCTACCTGTTCTCCATTGTCACTCTATGCTTTTATTTTGGACTGTGGAATCTTGCCAAAGCCAGTGGACACTGGCCATGACTCTCCACACACTTTTCTCCCAGTTCAAAAACGACCAATGTGAGTGGGTGCCGGTGGCTCGCGATCTGGAGGGTCACAGTTCAAAGCCAGCCCTAGGAAGGAAAGTCTGTGAGATTCTGATCTCCAGTGAACCACCAGAAAGCCGGCAGTGGTGCAATATATAGCTCCAAATGGTAGAGCACCAGCCTGGAGCACCGACGCTCAGGGACAGGCCCAGGCCCTGAGTTCAAACCCCACAGCCGACCAGAAATTAAAAAAAAAAAAATTCAAAGTGCAAGAGCTAAAGTTAGGGTGCTAACTGAGCAAACGGAAGCCCCGTGTTCCCGCCTGCAAGAGTCTCTCTTCCCACAGATGCCCATTGCCCTGCAGAATACCACCGCCACCAGCCGCCACCTGCGCGTGCTCCCGCCCTGTACACCCTACTTTTCCCTGGGGCTGGGTGAGTTCGCCCCCACTTACCCCTGCCCAAGGGCCTGGTCTGGCCTGGCCAGCTCTGCCCCCGGAGGCCCTGCAGCTCCCCGGTCCTGAGTGGACAGGAGGGGGCGCTGACACCCAGCCTCCGCCCTGCCTGCCTTCCTCCCGTGAGGGTACCAAATGCTTTGCTGTCACTCGTGGGCCTTGAACTCAGGACCTGGGCGCTGTCTCTGAGCTCCACCACTTTGAGCTACAGATGGCACCACCTATGGTTTCCTGGTGGTTCCATTGGAGATAAGAGTCTCCTTGGCTTTCCTGTGCTGGCCTCAAACCGCGATCCTCTGGATCTCAGCCTCCCAAGGAGTTGGGATGACAATGTCACCCGGCGCCCGGCGCACGCCCCAATTTTTCTTCATTGCTTTTTTTTTTTGTCCCCCCTCAGGGATGTTCCCCGGGAAAGGAGGCATGGTGGCCCCCGGGATGACCTGCCAGTACGTGGTTCAGTTCATCCCAGACTGCCTGGGTGACTTCGACGACTTCATCTTGGTGGAGACGCAGTCAGCGCACACCCTGGTGATTCCTCTCCAGGCCCGGAGGCCGCCCCCAGTGCTGACCCGTGAGTGCCCCCCCCAGAGGCTCCCCGAGTCTCCCTATGGAGCTGGATTCCAGGCAGAGCCACTGGCTCCTGAGGAGGAGAGTGAGCAGCCTCTCTGTAAATACACAGTGTCAGTCTCTGAGTTCTGGGTTTTGGATGCTTCTGTGCTGATCCTGGGGCTTGAACTCAGGGCCTGGGCGCTGTCTCTGAGCTTCTGGCTTTTTTTTTTTTTTTTAATTTTTGGTGGATGATTGGAGATCAAGAGTCTCACTGTGTTTTCCTGCCCAGACTGGCTTTGGACTGCAGTCCTCCAGATCTCAGCCTCCTCTGTAACTATAATGACAGGCGTGAGCCACCAGTGCCATGTGATCTGATGGGCTCACGCCTGTCATCCCAGCTACTCAGGAGGCTGAGATCTGAGGATCACAGTTCAAAGCCAGGAAAGTCCATGAGACTCTGATCTCCAGTGACCACCAGGAAACTAGAAATGGCGCTGTGGCTCAAGTGGTAGAGCACCAGCCTTGAGCTGAAGAGCTGAGGGACAGCGCCCAGGCCCAGGACTGACCCCCCAAAACCCCAAAAGATCGTGGAGCTATGTGGTACAGTACCCACCTTGAGCAGAAGAGGCAGATGAGGTCTCCAGGCCCCACATTTAGACCCCCCACCGCACGTTCCAGGGTGACCAGCCGCCCTCTGACCCTCTCCCCCATCTGGCCGCAGTGTCCCCAGTGCTGGACTGCGGCTACTGCCTCATCGGGGGCGTCAAGGTGACCCGGTTTGTCTGCAAGAACGTGGGCTTCAGCCTGGGCAAGTTCTGCATCATGCCCAAGAGGAGCTGGCCACCTCCCTGCTTCCGGGTGAGTGGGGAAACAGAGGGAGAGCCGGCCGCGCTCACCCTGGCCAAGCCCTGCAGAGACAGCGGGCTGCGGCCCCCTGCCCGACCTCCATGTCCGGAGGGGGTGCGCAGTGGAAACATACGTTGCCCCAAACAAGGTGTAGCTCACCCTTCCTGTGCGCTGTGTCTGTCCATCCATCCATCCATCCATCCATCCTTCCTTCCTTTCTTCCCTTTTGCACAAGCCCAGTGCTCTACCGCTCTGAGCTGGTTCATTGGACATCAAGAGTCTGGGGGACTTTGCTGCCCGGGCTTGTCTCGGAGCCACAATCCTCCGGATCTCGGCCTCCCCCTGAGTAGCTGGGATGGCAGGCGTGCGTGGGCCACCGCGCAGGTTTCTTCTGTGTCTCGCAGGCTGTTGCGGTCAGCGGCTTCGTGGAGCAGCCCCCCTTCGGGGTCACGCCGTCCGTGTTTGAGTTGGCGCCAGGCTTCGCCATCTTACTGGAGGTGAGCGGTGGCTGCCCGCACGCACGCACGCACACGCGCTCTCCTGCCCTCCTGACTGCCCTCGGCAGCTGTGGCTTCCTCCGTGTCCCTCCCTCCCTCCCTCCCTCCCTCCTTCCTTCCCTCCTTCCTTCCATGCCAATCGTGGGACTTGAACTCGGGCCCTGAGCTCTTTGGCTCAAGGCTGGCACTCTACCACTTTGAGCCATGCACGGCGCCACTTCATTGGAGACGAGAGTCTCGGGGACTTTTCCTGCCCGGGCTGGCCTCGAACCACCATCCTCCAGCTCTCAGCCTCCTCCTGAGGAGCTGGGGGGACGGGCGTGAGCGCTGATGCCCGGCTCCTCTCTCCTCAGACGATGACGCCTCTGGTTTCGTGGGGTCGGGGTGAGGGGGCAGGGCTGCTGGTCGTGGGGGGGGGGCTGTGGGGCATGGTGGGGTCACCATCGTGGTCTCCGCAGGTCCTGTTCCTCCCGACGACCCTGGGGAAGGTGGAGCGAAGCTACCTGGTGGTTTGTGACAACTGCCAGCTGAAGGAGCTGGTGCTCACAGGTGCCCCGCCCCCTCAGACCCCGCCCCAGGCCCCTCCCCTTCCCGCCCTCAGACCCCGCCCCTTCTCCTCCCCTCCCACACCACGCCCCTGCCAGGCCCAGTGGGCAGGGGGCCTGGGGCCCGGGTGCTGGTGGGAAGTGGACCATGCCTCCCCCGTGTCCCTCCAAGCTGTGAGCGCCTAGGGCTGGGGCAGCACCCCAGGATTGCCCTGGCCTGCAAGGCTAGGGGGGCCTCGGCTGCATGGCCTCAAGATGGCCACTGGCCTCCCAGCCCGCCCTCTCTTCTCCCTCCCTCCCTCCCTCCTTTCTTCCTCCCTGTTTTCTTCCCTCCTTTCCTTTCCCTTCTCTCTCCCTTCTTCTCTCTCTTCCTTTTTTCCTTTCTTTCCTTCCTTCCTTTTTTCCTCTCTTTTTTTCTTCTTCCTCCTTTCCTTCCTTCCTTCCTTTTTTCTTTTCTTTCTGTTGGTCAGGAGTCTTGAACTCGGGGCCTGGGCGCTGTCCCTCAGCTCCTCAGCTCAAGACAGCACTCTACCGCTTGAGCCACAGCGCCACTTGCGGTTTGCTGAGTGGTTTATTGGAAATAAGAATCTTATGGCCTTTCCTGCTCTGGCTGGCTTTGAACCGTGAGCCTCAGATCTCAGCCTCCTGAGTGGCTAGGATGACAGGCGTGAGCCACCGGCGCCCGGCTCCCCACTTGGACTTTGTGGAGGATGTTGGCTCCATCTCCACTTCTGAAAGTCCTGGCAGAGGCCGGCTGTAGTGGACAGTGCCACGGAATCCTCATGTCAGCCTAGGGACACATCACCATTCTAGCCAGGCACCAGAAGTCACACCTGCCATCCTGAGGATCGTGGTTCAAAGCCAGCCCAGGCAGGGAAGTCTGTGAGACTTTTATCTTCGGTGAACTATACCCAAATGGCTGAAAATGGCGTTGGGGCTCACGTGGTGGACCGCCAGCCTGGAGCACAGAGACAGCACCCAGGCCCCGGGTTCGAGTCCCGGGACAGTGCACCTCATCTTTGTCCCCCTGTGTGGTTAGGAACCGGCCAGCTGGTCGCTCTGGACCTCATCTACGTCTCTGGCGAGCGAAGTGAACCCGAGCCCGGGGAGCTCACAGACCTGACCGCCCAGCACTTCATCCGGTTCGAGCCCGAAAACCCCCAGAGCACCGCCAAGAAACTCCTGATCATCAGGAATGCCACGTGAGCCTCAGACTCCCCACTGACCTCCGGGCCGGCCCTGCACGGCCATCCTCACAGCTCAGCCTCCCTGAGTTGCCAGGACCACAGGCCTGAGCCTCCGGCTGCCCAGCTCTTCCCAGTGAAACTGAAATGGTAGCAGCAGGCATCTCCTGAGCTGACCACTGCCCAACCCTCCTGCCCCTGGGGGTGAAAAGAGGGCTCTCTTAACATGGTCACTAGAACTGGCCAAGCACGGAGTAGGAAGGAACTTTCTAGAAGCTTCCAGAAGCTTCCAGATCCTGCCACGATTTGGCTACTAAGCAAACAGCCTCTCACAGCCACGGTCACTTCCGTAGGCACGTGGAGCTGGCCTTCCACTGGCAGATCATGAAACCCAACCTGAGGCCTCTCCTGCCTGGAGAAACCTACAGCATGGAAAACATCAAGTGCCACCCGGACCTAGACACAGCCTTTGCCATCGTGCCGGAGAAGGGGACCCTCAACCCCCACACCGACCACGAGTTCATCCTCAGCTTCTCGCCCTACGAGGTTCGGTGGCTGCTGGTGTTCTTGTGGGTGCTGGGCCTGGGCTTGAACTCGGGCCTGGGCACAGGCCCTGAGCGTCTTCACACAAAGCTCTGCCATTTGGGCCCTAACACCACTTCCGGCTTTTTCTTTGTGTGTGGTCCTGAGGAATCGAACCCAGGGCCTCACACCTGCTAGGTGAGCACCCTTCCTCCTGTCCTCCCTTTTTCCCTTCGCCGGTCCCAGAGCTTGAACTCTGAACTCGGGGCCTGTCCTGAGCTTCGTTTTGCTCAAGGCTGACGCTCTACCACTTGAGCCACAGCGCCACTTCTGGCTTTTTGGAGATGAGTCTCCTAGAAGCCGGGCGCTGGTGGCTCACGCCTGTCATCCTAGCTACTCAGGAGGCTGAGACCTGAGGATCACAGTTCAAAGCCAGCCCGGGCAGGAAAGTCAGTGAGACTCTGATCTCCAATACACCACTAGAAAACCGGAAGTGGTGCTGTGGCTCAAGCGGTAGAGCGTCAGCCTTGAGCTGAAGAGCTAAGGGACAGCGCCCAGGCCCAGAGTTCAAGCCCCCCAACCGACCAAAAAAAAAGAGTCTCCTAGATATTTTTGTGGGGCTGGCTTTTTCAAAGCAGGATCCTCCAGATCTCAGCCTCTTGGGTGGCCAGTCTTTGAGAGGCTCCCTGGTAGCCAGGTGGAGATGAAGAATCCCCACCCTGGCGTCCAGTCTTTTCCTTTTCCAGGCAGCCCAGCCTGGCTCCGATTTTTTAAATTTGTATTCTTTTTGCCTTGCAGCTGAGATTGTTCCACAGCGTTCTACAGATGGTTCTAGAAGACATCCCGGAGCTGTTGAGGTGAGATGGAGCCTCCTCTGCTTGGGGTGGGTCCCATCAAAGATTTTCAGGCAGGAGGATCAGATGCGACCCTTGATCGGCACAGTTTGGGTGCTAAGAACATGGTTGTGCCGGTCCCGGGACTCGAACTCACAGTCTAGGTGCTATCCCTGAGCTCTTTTTGCTCAAGGCTCCAGCACTTGGAGCCTCAGCACCAAGTCTGGTTTTCTGGTGGTTAATTAGAGATGAGAGTCTCACCGACTTTCCTGACTGGGCTGGCCTTGAACTGCGATCCTCAGATCTCAGCCTCCTGAGTAGCCGGGATTACAGGTGTGAGCCATCAGCCACCTCCCGGCTCATGCTTGGTTTTCTGGAGGGCCAAAGACCAGGGAGTGGAGGTTGGGGTGGGGGAAAGAGCACTACAGGGGTTCACTTCTCACTGTGTGGAGCACTATGGGGGTTCGCAAGCACTACAGGGGTTCACCCCCACTGTGTGGCCCCCAGCCCCGAGGCCGAGGAGAGCATGGAGGACCGGCCGCACCGCATGGACAGCGTGATCGTGCTGGAGATGGAGGTGAAGGGCCCTGCGGAGCCGTTCCAAGTGCTGCTGGACCCCTACGCCCTCATCCTGCCCGGCGAGAGCTACATCGGCATGAGCCTGAAGAAAGGCTTCAAGGTAGGGCGCGGGCGCCGTGGCCCAGACGGCAGAGCACCAGCCCGGACCGAAAGCAAAGAGGCCGAGGGAGAGCACCCAGGCCCAGGACGGCAGAGTCGCCACCACTAAACCACGGTGGCCTGGGGGGGGTCTCCTTCCAGATGTGGAACAACAGCAAGTCTCGCATCCGGTACCTGTGGGGGCGGCTGAGCGACTGCCACATCGTGGAGGTGGAGCCCTGCTCAGGGACCATCGGTGCGTCCCGGCTGGCGCTACAGGAGGCCCAGATGGGTCCTGGCTGTAACCCTCCAGCCCGGGCCTGGCGGGGAGAGGGGGAGGCCGCAGAGAGGAGGAAGGCCGGAACCCCAGCCTCCTTTTCCTCCTCCTCCTCTCCTCTTTTCTCCCTCTCCTTCCTCTTCCTCCTCCCCTCCTCTATCTCTTTTCCCTCTTTCTCCTCTTCCTCTGTTCTCTTTTCTCCTCCTCCTCCTCCTCTTCCTTCTCTCCTTCCTCCTCCTGCTCCTCTTCTTCCTCTTCCTCCTCTCCTTCTCTCTTTCTGGGCCTTGAACTCACGGCCTTGTGCTCTCTCATGGCTTTTCCTGTTCTTGCTCAAGACCCATGCTCGCCACGTTCCCACATCTGGTTTTTGTTTTTTCCTTTTTTTTTTTCCAGTCATGGGGCCTGAACTCTGGGCCTGGGCGCTGTCCCTCAGCTCTTCAGCTCAAGGCTAGCGCTCTACCACTTGAGCCACAGCGCCACTTCCGGCTTTTTTCTTTTTTGCTTATGTGGTGCTAAGGAATCGAACCCAGGGCCTCAGGCATGCAAGGCAAGCGCTCTACCACTGAGCCACCTTCCCAGCCCTGTTTTTTCCTTTTGGCCAGCGGGCGATGGCTCAGAGTAATGCCAACCTGTCTGCCCTTGCCAGCTTCAAATCTTGATCCTCCCTTCTCCCAGCCTCCCTCCCACATGGCCTGCACAGCCCTGCCCCCTCCCCCCCTCCCTGCCCACCCCCTCACCTGCCCCCCTCTCCACCCCAGAGCCCAACGAGGTAGGTGAGTTCGAGCTGAATCTTACTGGCAGCGTCCCAGGCCCGGTCAGCATGGACCTGCCATGCGAGATCCGAGACTCGCCCACGCCCGTGGTGCTGCACATCGAGGCCACCTTCAAAGTATGGGGGGGGGAGTGGGGAGGGTCAGTGGGCTGGGCCTCGGGCCCGTCCACAGGCCGGCGTGGTCACCAGCCGCCTTGGGCTCCTCAGGGGCCCTCTCTGGTCATCAACGTCTCCGCTGTCCAGTTTGGCCTCCTCCGCCTGGGCCAGAAGGTCGCCACCACGGTGCAGATTCAAAACGTCAGCCAGCTGCCCGCTGCCTGGCGCCTCCACGAGAGCCGGGTCTGCCTGCAGGAGAGGCTGGAGGAGGTGAGTGGCCGGCCTGCTGGGCCTCGGATGACCGTGGGGCGGCCCTTGCTCCAGCCATCGAACACACGCATGCACGTGCGCGTGCGCATGCGCACTCCCCAACTCCCATTGGCACTGGGATGCTTTGGCGGCGCGATCCACTCACAGGGCTGAGGCGAGAGGGAGGGAAAAGCCACTTGGGGAGAGTGGGGGTGTGACTCAGGTGGTAGAGTGCCCCAGGGTGCAGCGGACAAGCTACAGGATCCGCGGCCCAGGCCCCGAGTTCAAGCCTGGCCTGCCCAGTCACCGCTGTCTCCCTTCGGATCTCCCACGCCGCCAGGAGTCCCCCTTTGCCATCGAGCCGTCCAGCGGCCAGCTTGCCCCACTGGGCGAGTGCAGTGTGACCATCAGCCTGGACACCTCACACTGCCAGCGTCTGCAGACTGTGCTGGAGCTGGAGGTGGAGAACGGAGCCTGCAGGTATCGGGGTGCAGATGGCGTGGGGAGACAAGCCCCAGAGCCCACCACCGGGTGCTGGTCTCCAGGCATTTCTCCATGCAAAACTAGGCATGGCACCGGGTATGGTCGTGCATGCCTGTAATCTGGGCCACTCGGGCATCAGTCGGCCTGGCTCCAGTGGCTCACACTTATCATCCTAGCTACTCAGGAGGCTGAGATCTAGAGGCTTGCAGTTTGAAGCCAGCCTGGGCTTCAAGTCTGAGACTCTAAATCTCCAAGGAACCACCAAAAAGTCAGGATGGAGGTGTGGCTTATGTGGTAGAGCGCCAGCCACGAGTTAAAAAGCCAGGGGAGGGCACCCAGGACCTGAGCTGTCCCACCGAGATAAAGAACATGGTGGACACCGATTCTGAGGGCTAGAATCATAATTCTGCAGAATGCCGCTCCCTCCCGGAGCTCCGTTTGATTTTCACGTAGATGCTTCAGAATGTTTCTACACCGGCGGCATGCAAACCGCAAGTTTTCTTTCTATTGATGAGTCCCATGGACTCTCCTGCCTGGGTTGGCTTTGAACCGTGATCCTCAGATCTCACCGAGTAGCTGGGATGACAGGCGGGAGCCACTCGCGCCCGGCAACTTTTTTTTTTTTTTTTTAATAAATAGTTTGTGTGTGTGTGTTTGCCACTCTTGTGGTTTGAACTCAGAGCCTGGGGGCCATACTTGCTTCTGCTCAAAGCTAGTGCTCTACCACTTGAGCCATAGATGGCACCTCCAACTGCAGTCCTCCAGACCTCGGCCTCCCGAGTGGTTGGGCTAACAATCCCCCCTTTCTCTGTTTTTAATTGGACCTTGTATCCCAGCTTCCTCCCTGTGTACGCCGAGGTGCAGGCGCCTCACGTGTACCTGCAGACCAGCCACCTGGAGATGGACTGCCTGTACTTGGGTGTGCCCACAAAGACCACCGTCGTGCTCATGAACGGCACCCAGCTGCACACCCGCTTCCACTGGGGCAAGGTGAGTGAAGCGGGCCGGGAGGCATGGCTCAGGCAGGAGAACGCCAGCCCATATTCAGGACTGGAACCCTGAGACCAGGTAAAGTACCCCCACCCCATGGCCGGTCCCTCCCTCCCTCAGTGATCCCTCCTAAAAAGCTTGGCGCATGCCTGGTACTGGCGGCTCACGCCTGTCATCCCCGCCACTCGGGAGGCTGAGATCTGAGGCTCACGGTTCAAAGCCAGCCTGGGCAGGAAAGTCCATGAGACTCTGATCTCCAATAAACTACTAGAAAACCGGAAGTGGTGCCAGACGTGGTTCAAGTGGTAGAGCGCTCGCCTGGAGCGGATAAAGCTCAGGGACAGCGCCTAGGCCCTGAGTTCAAGCCCCACGACAGACAGAAGGAAAAATTAAGCTTGGCTTTTCCAAGGAACAAAGTATCTAGACTGGTTTCTCGTGGCCTTGCCACCCTGGGGCCTGGGCGCTGCCCCTGAGCTGCTTTTTCACTCAAGGCGAGCTCTCTACCACTTGAGCCACAGCTCCACTTCTGGTTTTCTGGTGGTTCATTGGAGATCAGAGTCTCATGGACTTTACTGCCCAGGCTGGCCTTGAACCGCGATCCTCAGGTCCCAGCCTCCCGAGTAGCCGGCGCGATGGGCGTGAACCCCTGGTGCCTGGCCAGTCCTGCTTGGGAGGGAAGGCCCCGAGACATCACCGAGCCATTGTCTTCCCACCCCCAGCTCCTGGGGACCCAGGCCGCCCTGTGCTCAGCATCGGTCATCCCTAGATGCGGCGTACTGGGCCCCGGCGAAGAGCGCCAGCTCCACTTCGAGTTCACCGCCTATACCCAAGTGAGTAGGAGTCTCACAGACATTCCTGCCTGGGGCTGGCCTCGAACCGCAATCCTCCAGATCTTCAGCCTCCTTAGACGCCGGGTGCCAGGCGTGAGCCACCGAGCCCGGTGTGGTTTCGATTTCTTTCAGGAAGAGCTGATGGACCTGGCCCTCCCTTGTCGTGTGTCTGGCATGAAGAAGCCCCTGGCTCTGGGCATTTCCGGAAAGGCTCGGGGACTGGAGGTGACCATCGCCGTATCCGTGGATGGCTCAGGGAACAGGTCAGCCGGGCCAGAATGGGAGCGATGACAGAAAGGACTAACACCAAGCTATGGGACCAGTCCCCTCCCGGTGGATTCCTTCTTTCCTTTGCTTTTTGCCAGTCCTGGGGCTTGAACCCAGGGCCTGGGCGCTGGCCCTGAGCTGCTTTTGCTCAAGGCTAGCACTCTACCACTTGAACCACGTCTGGCACCACTTCCGGCTCTGTTTTTTCTGCTTGGTGGTTAATGGGAGCTAGGCGTCTCATACACTTTTCTGTTCCAGCTGGCCTTGAACTCCGATCCTCACTTCTCAGCCTCCGGAGTAACAAGGATCTCCGGCATCCGCTGTCTGCTTCCAGCTGTCCCTGAGCTCTTATTTCTGGCTTTTTGCTGGTTCATTGGAGATCAGAGTCTCCTGGGCTTTCCTTCCCCTATCCTCACACCCCGGCGTCCTGCGTGGCCGCGGGGACGGGGCGGGCTGGGTGTTTGGTAGCAGACGACGGGAAGTTTGTCTTTTTAGCACCAAGCTGTGCCTGTCCCTCCCCGAGGAGCTGCACCTGGACTTCGGCTGTGCCGTGCCACTAAGGACGCACGTCCACGGCCACCTGATCCTCACCAACCACTCCCCGATCCGCACCCCGTTCATCCTCAACTTCCAGAGCTTCGGGAGCCCCGAGGACAGCCTGAGCAGGAAAGCCGCCCCGTGAGTCGGAGCGACTTCTTTGGGTGTATTTTATTTCCCCCCCGTCCCTGGGGCTTGAACTCAGGGCCTGGGCGCTGTCCCTGAGCTCTAACCCCTTTTAGCCGTACATGGCGCCACTTCTGGTTTTCTGGTAAGTTCATTAGAGAACAGCCCGGTGTGGCTTTGAACCATGATCTTCCAGATGCCGGCTTCCCGAGTAGCTGGGATGGCAGGCGTGCCCTACCAACCCGACTGGTGCTTTTTTTTTTTTTCTTCTTTCTTTCTGTCTCCTTTTTGTGAAGCCCCGATGTATCCCTTGCCCTGCTAAAGACATCCCGGGTCCAAGAACAGTTGGCGAAACGCGAGATGCTGGGTGAGACCCCTTCAGAGTGCGGTGACTGGGGTCTAGTAGTTGCCAGGGGAGAGGGGGGGGCCTGGACCCCCAAGATTCCCTCTTAAGTGTCTTTCCCAAAAAGGTCCTCAAAATGCCCGTCTACTTCACAGTTTCCCAGAGTTTTTTCTTTTTGTCGGTGGTGGGGCTTGAACTCGGGGCCTGGGCGCTGTCTCCGAGCTTCTTTTGCTCAAGACTGGGCGCTCTACCACTTGAGCCACAGCGCCACTTCCGGCTTTTTTCTTTTTGCTTATGTGGTGCTGAGGAATCGAACCCAGGGCCTCAGGCATGCAAGGCAAGCGCTCTACCACTGAGCCACCTTCCCAGCCCCACCTCCAGCTTTTTCTGTGTATGTGGTACTGAGCCATCGAGCCCGGGGTTCGTGCGTGCTAGGCGGGCGCTCGCCCACTGAGCCGCCTCCCGCCAGGTTTCATGGAGAACATACTGTCTCACGGGAAGGGCGCAGCCTTCTTCCCGCACATGTCCCAGGGCATGCTGGGAGCCCACCAGCAGCTGCGGATCAAGATCACCGCCTGTGCCAACATGTGGGGCGAATACTGGGACAAGCTCACCTGCATGGTGAGCCCGCGCCCGGGCCTGCTCCCTTCTGGCGTCTGTCAGCCCTGGGGCTTGAACTCAGGGCCTGAGCGCTGTCCCTGAGCTCTTTTGTGCTCAAGGTCGGTGCTCTCCCCATTGAGCCACATATGGCGCCACTTCCGGTTTTCTGGTGCTTCTGTGGAGACGAAAGTCTCATGGACTTTCCTGCCCAGGCTGGCTTTGAACTGTGATCCTCAGCTCTCCACCTCCTGAGTAGCTGCGATGACCGGCGTGAGCAGAGATGCCCGGGCTGGCCTATACCTGTGGCTTCCTGCCAATGCCTGGCCTCAAGCCCTTTTGAACCCCCATCCCCTAGCCCCCCCAAAATCTAAAGTGTAAGGGCCCCATGGTCTGGAGACAGGAAGCCGTGTCAGCTGCAGCCCCTGAGCTTGAGATCAAGGTGACTGGGGCGGGATGGGGCCCGCGCCCGGTGGAGACAAGAGATCTGAGGATCACAGTTCAAAGCCAGCCCCGGGCAGGAAAGTCCACTGGACTCTTACCTCTAGTAAAGCAGCAAAAAAGCTAGAAGTGGAGATGTGGTAGAATGCCAGCCTTTTAACCACATTTAGAGTGTGTGCGCGCACACACAGAGACACACAGAGATCAGAGACATCAGGACAGTAGATCAGCACAGGTGGGGAAGGAGGACAGAGATACAGGGAAGGGGAGGGCGAGGAAGAGGAGGGAAGAGACGGAAAAGGGAGACCAAGGCAGGCAGAGAGGGGGGGGGGGCAGGGGCGGCGCGCAGCCCCGCCAGGGCTCTGTAGGGCGGGGAAGGAGGTGGTGCGGGGTGGCGTGGGGGGTTTGGTCAGGCCAGGGGGGCTGGGCGGGGGGGTGACGAGACCGTGTGCTTGCAGGTGGGAGACCTGCCCCCCACCGTCATCCCAGTGCACATGGTGGTGGTGGGCTGCCCCATCCGCACCATGAGGACTTCCTACTACACTCTGGGGCACTTCCAGAAGGAGCCCATCGTCAGGTACCCCCCCCTCCCCGAGAGGCCCAGTGCCACCCACAGGAAGGCCCCAGGGCCAGGGGCTTATGGTCCACACCCCATCATCCCCGCTATTCAGGAGGCTGAGCCCTGGAGGATGGTGGTTGGAGGCAGCCCAGGGCAGGAACATCCATGAGACTCTGATCTCCAGTGAATGAAGGGGCGCTGTGGCTCAAGTGGTCGAGTGCTCGCTAGCCTTGAGGCGAAGAAACTCGGGGACAGCGCCCAAGCCCTGAGTTCAAGCCCCAGGCCCGGCACACACAGAAAGCCCCTGACAGACCGTCAGGCCCTGCAAGGGCAGGCCTCCACTCCGGAGTCTCCGTGTCACCAGGACCAGGAGAGACTATAAATACCTCCTGGCCCCAGCCTCCACCCTAGGGCCCTCCCTGGTGGGCACCTAACCCTGGGGACAGAGCGCAGGAGATTTGACAGGAGTGGGGATTTTGTCTTTCGTCGGTCCTGGGGCTTGAACTCGAGGCCTGGGTGCTTTCCCTTGAGCTCTTGGGTTCAAGGCGAGCGCTCTACCACTTGGCACCACAGCTCCAATTCCGGTTTCCTGGTGGCTCATTGGCAATAAGAGTCTTAGAGCCTTTCCTGCCCGGGGCTGGCTTTGAACCACCATCCTCCGATCTCAGCCTCCTGAGCTAGCCAGGATGACAGGCGGGAGCCACGGGCGCCTGGCTTGGAATATGAATGATCATTTACTAAGCTATATTGTGGGCGATCAGTCTCTGGGAATGTCTTCCTCCCTCAACCTGCACCCTGGAGCCTGTACCTCGTAGAGACGCAGGCCGAGACCCAGCAAAGCCCACTGTCCTTGCGCAGGTTTGGAACCCAGGTCTCCGGAGGCAGGCCGGTCACCAGGATTGTCCACCTGATGAACTCCAGCCCCTGCGGTGAGCCCTGGGACTGGGAGCCCCCAAAGCCGGTCAGGGGAGGCGAGGCTACACCTATCAGCCCAGCTTCTCAGGAGGCTGAGGTCTGAGGATCACGGTTCAAAGCCAGCCCGGGACAGGAACGTCCATGAGACTCGCCCATGAACCCACCAGAAAACCCAAAGAAGCGCCATAGATGATGGCTCCTAGCGGGAGAGCGCTGAGCGCAGGGACAGCACCCAGGTCCTGAGTTCAAGTCCTACCACTGATAGGGGGAAAAAAACCCACCATCCTGAGAATCTTTCGGCAGGGAAGGCTCCAGAACCCTGAAGTCGGGGGAAGGGGGGGGCACGGAGGACTCAAGGGAGGCCCCCTCCCCCATCTCTGCCCCCAGACATCCGCCTGGACTGGGAGACCTTCCTCCCGGAGCACAGGAAGGACCACCTGCTCGAGCTGCTGGTATTCTACGGGCCTCGGTTTCCCCTCCTTGACGCGGCGGGGAACGAGCTGGTGTGCTCCGAGGGCTCGGAGGCCAGCGGCGCCTGGCCCCCCAGCAGCCCCTCCAACCTGTCCGAGTCCAGCCACGCGGCCTCCCTGTCGGTCAGCGCCGGGGCCGGGGGCTGGGGCTGTGGGAGGGGGCCGCGGGCGGCCATGGAGCCCTGGCGAGGCCCCTCTCCCGTGGCAGGTGGAAGGCAGCTCGTTCGCCCCGGCCAAAGCCACGGAGCAGATCATCTCGGTCATCCTGAAGGGCTACGAGGGCGTGCCCAGCGACCGGGAGTTCTCGGTGCAGCCTCGGCAGGTGGTGAGCCGCGGGGCGGGGCGGGGGGGCTGGGGGAGGGAAGGGGGAGGGGGAGCAGCAGGGCCCGGCGAGCACCCAGCCGTCCCTGCCTGCCAGGTGGTCCCTGCCAGGGGCAAGAGCGCCGTCCGCGTCTCCTTCACCCCCGCCACGCTGGACCCCGGTGAGCGGCACAAGGTGGCGTGCAGCGGCTATGCCCTGGGCTTCATGAGCCTGGACAACGAGGTGCGCGCCCTCCCCACACGGGGACCCCCACCCCGGCTCCACTGGAGGACGCCACTGCCCATGCGTGACCCGTGACCCCTGACCCCCGTCTCCACCGGGGGACACCACTGCCCACGCGTGACCCGTGACCCCTGACCCCCGTCTCCACCGGGGGACACCACTGCCCACGCGTGACCCATGACCCCCGACCCCTGTCTCCACTGGAGCACCACTGCCCACGCATGACCTGTGACCTCCAACCCCTGTCTCCACCAAGAGACACCACTCCCCACGCATAACCCGTAACCCCCGACTCCTGTCTCCACCGAGGGACACAACTACCCACGCGTGACCCATGACCCCTGACCACTGCCCACGCGTGACCCGACCCGTCTCTACCAAGGGACACCACTACACACACCTGACCCCTGACCCCGATCTCCACTGGGACACCACTACCCACGCGTGACCAGACCCGTCTCCACCGAGGGACACCACTACCCACGCATGACCCGTGACCCCTGCGGGGGACATCCCTACCCACGCATGACCCCTGATCCCTGACCCCCGCTCTCCAGCGAGGGACATCCCTACCCACGCATGACCCCTGATCCCTGACCCCCGCTCTCCAGCGAGGGACATCCCTACCCACGCATGGCCCGTGACCCCTGACCCCTGTGTGTGGCGGGGCGGCGGGTGAGCGCGCGCTGCTTGCAGGCGGACAGGGAGCTGGCGGGCTGCGTGCGTCGCCTGCAGGACTTTGCCGTGGACCCTCTGCGGCTGGAGCTGCACGGCTACGTGCAGCGCGCACAGTGAGTGGAGGGGCTGGCCCCCGCCTCTGCCCTGCACCCCACAGCCAGGCCCCCCGGGGAGGGCCGCCCGGGGGGGGGGGCAGTGAGGCCCGCCCTTGCCCCCCGCAGGCTGAGCGTGGAACTCGACTCCGCCGGCCACTTGGGGTTCCAGTGCCGGGCCAGCGATCTCATCCCCAAGGACGCCTGCGCCGGGGTGAGCACCCCAGCCTGGCCCGGCCCAGGGGCGCCTCGGGCCTTCTGGGGGGGAGGGGAGGGCTGACACACACACACTGAGTCCCCAGAACCCCCAAAAGAGAAGGCCGTGACGTGTCTCCCCGCTTCCCCCCCTGCAGGTGCTGAGCGAGCTGCTGATCTCCCGCCCCCTGAGGCTGATCAACACCACGGAAATCCCACTCCACTTCCGCATCCTGGTCTCCAGCCCTTTCTCCGTCTCTCGAGACAAGGCCAGCGTGAGCCCCGGCCCTGGAGCCAGGGGCAGCGGCCCCAAGCAGAGGGCCGGGGGGCCGGCGCTGGAGGGGAGGATGCTGACACTGCCCGCCCAGAACAACCTGCAGGTGAGCCAGGATCCCAGCGCTGCCGTGCAGACCGCACCCTGCCGTACGCAGCGGCCACGGCCGGAGCTGCAGGAGTGTGCCACACAGCGCATCTGACATGCTCGGGAGCGCACCACACAGGGCAGGCTCAGGAGGTTTCTAGAAATAGCAGCTACCTAGGCTCTTTTTGAGTTTTTCTGTCTCTTCTTCTATCTCTCCTCTCTCCCCCTTCCTATCAGTTGCTATTTCTGTGACTTTCTCTCTCTCTCTTTGGTTGCTGTTTCTGTATCTCTTTGTCTGACTCTCTCGCTCTCTCTCTCTCTCTGTGTCCTTGTCCTCATCTCGCTCTTCCTTGGTCCCTCAGACATTCTTTCCTGTTTCTTTCCCTTCCTTTATCTTTTTCTTCCTCCCTCTATCTGGTCTGCTCTGTTCTTCTGTCTCTGTCTCTCATGCCTTGTCTCTCTGACTTATTTGCCTCTCCTTCTGTCTGTCCTGTCTTTATCCATCTGTCTCTCTAGACATCTAGCTTCCTCGCAGGGTTGTGAGTATGTTTGGTTGTCCATGGGAATAGCACAAACCATGCTCAAGGCTAACACCCAGGCCTTGAGTTCAAGTCCCACAACCAACCAAAAGAAAAACAGGAATTAAAAAAATGAAGCAACTGTCCAGCAGCGTTTGCGGAACAGATGCTTCAGAAGGGGGAGCTGCTGGACTAGGGGTTTTGTTTTAGATCCCCCCCCCATTTGTTGCTGGTCTTGAACTGAGGGCCTGGGCGCTGTCCCTGAGCCCTTGTTGCTCAAGGCTGGTGCTCTACCACTTGAACCACAGCGCCATCTCCTGTTTTCTGGTGGTTCATGAGAGGTAAGAGTCTCCTGGACTTCCCTGCCCAGGCTGGCTTGGAACCTCGAGCCTCCGGATGTCAGCCTCCTGAGTAGCTGGGATGACAGGCGTGAGCCACCGGCTCCCGGCTGGTTTGGGATATTTTTGCCCAGTCTGGGCTGACTGGGATCAGAGGCTGCTGGTTGTGGTCAGGACTGCAGGAAGCCACGCCGAGCGCGGCCGGCTCTGCCCTCATACCCGTGTCCACCTCTGGCTCAGGTGAGCGTGTCCTTCCGACTCTCCTTGGAGCTGCTGTCCTACCAGAGGCTCGCGGCTGACCAGATGCTGCCGGGCGTGGACATTACACAGAGGCCGAGCGGAGAGAAAGAGATGGTGTTCACCCAGGACCTGTACCTGGAGTTCACCAACCAGACCACACAGGCCAGCCCCAGGCTCCCCGACCCCCACCGCAACTGCCCAACGGGAGGGTGGCGTCCACTGGAGGGAAAAAAGGAAAGACAGCCAGACACGGGTGGCTCACACCTGTCATCTCAAGATACTAGGGGGCTGAGATCTGGAGGATCGCAAGTCGAGGCCAGCCCAGGCAGGGAAGTCTGTGAGACTCTGATCTCCAGTGAGCCACCAGAAAGCCAGAAGTGGCACCAGACATGGCTCCAAGTGGTAGAGCGCCAGCCTTGAGCACAAAAGCTCAGGGACAGCCACCCAGTGCCCTGAGTTCAAGTCCCACAACCAATGCCACAAATAAGAAATCAGCGAGGCCGTGTCCCTGCAGGTGGTGCCGCTGCGGGCCGTGGTGGCCGTGCCCGAGCTGCAGCTCTCCACCAGCTGGGTGGACTTCGGCACCTGCTTCATGAACCAGCAGCTGAAGCGCGAGGTCTACCTGATGAACCTGAGCGGCTGCCACAGCTACTGGGCGGTGATGATGGGTGCGTGTGGCTCCCGCCGCCCTCCACGCCCTGGGGGGAGGGCCTGGATGCTGACCGCCTTAGAACCGGCTGGCCCCCGTGCCGGGCGCTAGTGGCTCCCGCCTGACACCCCAGCTACTCAGGAGGCTGAGATCTGAGGATCGAGGTTCCAAACCAGCCCAGGGCATTGGAGACTCTGATCTCCAAGGAACCACCAGAAAACCAGAAGTGGCGCCATAGATGGCTGCAAGTGGTAGAGCGCCAGCCTTGAGCCTAGGGACCGCGCCCAGGCCCTGAGTTCAAACCTGGAGCCGCCAGCCCACGGCTGTCCCCCTGCCCCCTGGCTGCAGGGCCAAAGGAGCCGCGGAAAGAGGGCCAGGTGTTCCAGGTCACCCCCAGCAGCGGGCTGCTGGAGGCCAGGCTCACCAACGCACCCCCAACGTCCGTCACCCTGCAGGTGTATTTCACCGCCAGGTAACGGCTGATGGTGGCCTTTCTGGGCGCTTCTGGGGGGGAGGGGCCTAGGCTGGCCTCCTGTGACACCCTGCGCCCCCCCCCCACCAGGGGCAGCAAGCTGTTCGAGTCCACCCTCGTGGTGGACGGCCTGCTGGGGGAGAAGGCCTGCACCCTGAGACTCCGGGGCCAAGGATCCTACGACGAGAGATACATGACCCCCCAACCCTTCTGACCCGCCCTGCCCGGCCCGCACCCCGGAAATGCGGACGGATTTGTCAGAGACAAGGGATCCAGCCCGGGCCCTGCGTCCTCTCAAAACGAGAAATAAAGCACAGCTGTGGCAGTGACGTAGCACAGCCGTAGGAATGACGTAGCACGGCCGTGGGAGTGACGTAGCACAGCTTTTCCACCCACCAAGGCCGCATCCAGAGCCCCAACCCAGCCCACGCACGAGCCCACACCAGCTTGCGCCCACTGAGGCGGCCTGGTGGGGACCCCGCTCCATGCGCACCCCGAGGGCCATGCGAGCTGACTTCAGCTTTTCCAAACAAGATAAAGAGCCTCGATGTCCCCACACCCCGCCTGGCGAGGCAGGGCTCGGGCTCGGGGATCACGTCTGCAGTCCCGTAGTCCACGGAGGACAGGGAGTTCAGGAACACCAGCAGGGCCTCAGTTTCCAGGTTGTTCGAAGACAGCAGCGGCCCCCATGCCGGTCCCAATGCACATGGACACCACGCCGTAGGCCCTGGGGAGGCCTGGGCATCAGCCGGCCGGGCTTTCCCACCACCCACCACCCACCACCCCACCAACAGGCTGCAGAATCAGAACCCCTGTGCAGGGCACAGACAAGGCAACCATCCCTGCAGGCCAGGGCCGGCTGCCAGGCTAGGGCCTCCCCCTCCCTAGTTCAGAGAACCGTAGGCCTCAGCCCTTGAGACTCCACTTCCGGGCCTCCTCCCCCCCCCTCACCTCTTTCCACGGCGCTTCAGCTCATTCAGCAGCGTGACCACCTGGCGCGTACCAGTGCAGCCCAGAGGGTGGCCCAGGGCCACGGCGCCCCCCAAGGGGTTCACCTTCTCAGGGGGGATGCCCAGCTTCTCCACGCAGTACAGGGCCTGTGAGGAAACACGGCAGATGGAGCCTCCAACACCCCTCCTCCGGGGCCGCCAGCGCCCAGGGCCACACACAAGGGACACAGGCTCACCTGGCTGGCAAAGGCCTCGTTGATCTCAAAGATGTCCACGTCATTCAC